ATGATACACAGAAATCTGTGCATCACTTCGTGATACCTAAGGTGCTTAAAGTGGATTTACGCTTGTTCCGGCAGTACCCTGGGGGACATCTATAGACCCTATGAGCGATAGGATAGAATGATGTTTATTACTGGACATATGCTCTCTATCCTTGAGCCGCTTCTTCTCTTATACTCTTCTTGAAACTTGAGCCTCCCAAGGGCCTGTGAATACAACTTACAAGCTGTATCTGTGTAAAATCTAAACGTTGTCATGAAATTTGAATGAAACGTAGCGTTATCACGACTAGCTTTACTTTTAAGAGTGAACCTTGTTGCAAGGTTAAGAGCTAGGCCTACGTAGGTAGAGCGAAAACAAGACCATATATGATATACTCTAGTCGTGACGGTGTAGTTACTTTCTATCACAGATACACTCACAGCGTAGCATTACCACCTGCATTACGCTTCGTCGTTCAATCATTTTTATCTAATCCTGAAATGGATTATTAAAGGCCTACAACTGATTACTGTATTATTGTGTATCTGCTAGCATTATATGCACTCATAGGTGTTTTTTTGCAGAAGTCGAGACATGTGACCACCCTACATCCTGAGGACAAAGGTACATAACACTGTATCTCTGCAGAGTGATGCATGAGTTATTCAGCCAGGTGTTGAATAAGAGAGATCTCTCAAAGGCAGGAGATCTCTTCATACTGCAGGATGGAGACATAGGTAATAATAGCAATTAATACATCCAGCTTGAACGCTGGTATCAGCCTGACATTTGATCGCTGTACTTTATACCATAGATTAAAATTCAACAACGTCAGTGTTTCCCTGGATAAAATCATGAGCGAAGCGCCAGGGTTGAATAAGTGAGTGGCGAAGGCGCTGGCACGAGTGCCTTTATTCCTATTACATGCACCTGCTTTGTGTGTGACTGTCGCGTAGCAAGGGTAGTCTTGCCCGCTGTGTTTGCTTTGCTATGTGGCAGCATAGTCGAGTGCACCCGGGACGGCTTGATAACGATTTTGGGGCCCGAAATAATGCTCCTTAGCGGCGATTTCGGCAAACATTGAGCGAGGCAGATGAAAAACAACAACAATAAGATGTCCCTCCCCCCCCCAGCTTATCATATACCAGGAAAAACAAAACACACGTTGTATACAAATTTAGTATGCATTATAGTTTGAAAAACCAATTAAGTATGCACGTGTACATGTGAAAAGCTGTCTAAGCCACTGAATCTTGCAGATAAATTATAACCAAATGATACCCACAGCAGGAATTAATATGATTTATATCTTCATTTCATTGCTCCAATAATACATTGCAAATTCTGAAAACCCAAGCAATAAACACATAACATAAGCAGCATCTTGCACGTCACTAATTTTTGTAGTAAAGTGAGATTTCCTTGTAAGTGTAGCAACAATATCTGGGTCACTGTAGACAGGGGCGTAGCTACGGGGGGGCCTGGAGGGGCACGTGCCCCCCCCACAAATTTTCTGTGCCCCCCCAGGTGCCCCCCACTGAAAATTCATGTGAATAATAAGAAAAAATTGAATTAAAAACAATGCCATTAGAACAGTATGATAGCAAAGAAAAGTTATATATTGTGCCCCACGAAGATGTAAGGCCCCCCTCAGTGCCCCCCGCTGAAAAAATCCTAGCTACGCACTGACTGTAGATAGCCTTTAATATGTGTGTATCCACCACCAGCTAGGTTACCTCGAATTGATCACATAGTGTGTTCTTGCTTTCTATAGTCAATGACCTGCAGCCGTCCTACAGTCAATACAGCAGATATCTAAATGAACCAGACTACTGTAAGCGTGACAATGACCAGAGTGTCGTGGAAATATGCATAACGCGTCACTAGTGCGATAAGTGGGCGAATTCATAAATATACATTGTTGAAGTAGTTGAAATAAATTAATATTACTCGATATCGTTTCATGTACTGGCTACCGGCTAATAATCGTGTGCATACAATGCATGCTAGATGAAAAGTTCAATAACATGGATTTATAAGTAATATAAATACCATAAATATATTATAAATATATTAAATATAATAATAATATATTAAACATGTAAAGTCCGTACGCCATCCTCGTGGATGCTGCTTTGAGTTTATGCTGTGACTAGTCCGGGCGTCTGTAGCGGAGGACTTGCGTACATAGTAGACGCATGCACCTTCGCCTTGATGTCGTACTCAGCTCCTGCTTGGAACATGAGCTTGAAGCCGTCCGGCCGGGACGCAGGACCCACCACACGCTTAAGATCGCCTCCGACATTCTCAGGCTGTGTCTTTCTGGTATGTTACCCAACACGATAGTTGGTGTAGCCGATGTTGAATCTGCACGGGTTTCTGCATTAGATCTGTGTCCTGTAGAAACGTAATGCCAGGTCTTGATTACACTCGCTAAGAGATGAGCTGTTGGTGTGTTTGTAAGCTGCCTTCGCAGGCATAGCAATGGGTAAAGCTGTGTGGAACAAACTGCTAATTAAGCAATCTAGGTAAAAATGTACCTGCTGTATCCTACAAGAAGAAAAGTGCCTTGGATTTATTTCAAGCTAGGGATGCCATTATTTCAAGCT